TAAACCTTGTGACTTTTTTGAACACTCTGGAAATCCAGCACAAGAATTAGCACCATCCAGCAATTTTATGGAAATGTCATATGATATTTTCAAAAACATGCATGCAGAGATGGATTCTAGTCTTTTTGCCAAGGCCACTTCAGCCAGTATAGCCCATAATGTTGGAGTCACTTTACAAGATATTAAAGTGATTGAAAAAGAAACAAGAAAACAGGCAAGCAGCCACCGCTGGTTCTTAGAAAGGTCAAAGCGACTGACATCATCCCTTTTTGGCAGAATCTTAAGAAGAAGGGAAAATGTGTTTCCAAAATCTATTCTTGATCAAATAGCTAAAAGGGGGGATGGAACTGGGCCAAATACAGCAGGGTTACAATGGGGCATTGAAAAGGAAAAGGTGGCTTTAGAAAGGTACAAAACAGAATTCTGCCACCAAGGTAATGTTGTTGAGTGCGGTCTGATGATCAATCCTAAATGGCCATGGCTTGGTGCAAGCCCTGATGGATTGATAATTCAAGATGGGATGCTTGTAGGCGGCATAGAGATTAAGTGCCCTTACACAAAAAGGAACTTAACTGTTCAAGATTCATGCCAAGATAAAAACTTTTTCATGGGAGATTCAGGATCTGGGCCAAATTTGAAAGAAAAGCATCATTATTATTATCAATGCCAAGGAATAATGAACATAATTGGCCTTTCATGGCTAGACATTATTGTTTATACTGACATAGATATATATGTGCAACGTTTAGAATGTGACTGTCATTTTTGGAAAACTGTAATGTTACCAAAGTTAGCAACATTTTTTGAAACATTTATGTTGATATAAATTAAAATATATGATATTTATGATGCGTTGAAGCCAAATGAAATCTGTTTTTACTGCTTTTAAATAACTGCTATGTCATTTTGGCATTGGTTAGAATGTCATGTCTTAATGGGAAAATTTACAAGCCAGGACAATTTTTTCATCTCCAAAATTCTCTGATCATGAAAAAAAACAAACAAACTGAATTTCTAGAGCTGAGCTGAAATCAAATTAGAGTTTAAATGGTGTAATGGCTATGTTTAAGGAAATGCTACAGTCATCAAATGCTACAGTTGTAGGTGGGGTAGGGGCAAAATTATTTTGTGACACAGGAGACAATTTCCTCTCACTTCCTAAATTGAAATGCAAAAAATTTAAAACCATTGCCCAAGTTAATTGATGAAAAGTGTATTTCCATTTAATTTAATGATAAAAGAAATTTCCTAAAAAACAGTGATACAAAGACAAAAAAAATTTTTCAATTGTATGAAATCACATTTATTTCTTAGCTATAAGTGGTGGTAAAAAGTTTGATAGATATGCACAAACCACCCATACTTTATCCAAATTAGCAGACATTGAAATTGGAAATATTGTTTTCAGTAACTTAAAAGTTTTTATTCGTCTAATGGCTCGCTCAACATGTACACGAAGGGAGGCAATTCTTCTGGTTTCTGTTTCTTCTTCTAATGTCAATGAAGCTTTTTCCTTGAGAAAAGGGGGTATATTCAGCCCTGTTTGTGGTGGAAGATCATCTTCTATGTTAAACCCTTTGTCAGCCATGATTGTATCACCTGCTTCCAAAAGGTTAAGGATACCACAATCCCTTGTGACTGCTTTGTCACTGCATCTGCCAGCATATAGGTGTGACACAAATGTTACTGCACCTGAAGGTGCAATACCAAGCAAGCCCTTTGCAGTATTGCAATGTTTGTAGTTAGAGTATGTTTCACTCTGTGATCTGAGTGAACTAGGCATTTCCATGAATATTTCAGTAGCATCCAATATCACACGTGTACTTGGGTACATTTCTTTGAATGCATTTGGCATTGTTTCATCAATAGTTGACCTTGATGCCCATATTGGCAGCTGTCTAAGCCTTGTATATAGGAAATCAATCCAGGTGATGAAGATCCTAGAAAAATGCCCAACAGAAATACCTGCCCTGTAAGCTATGTCTTTTTCTAAAAGTCCACACCGTAAACGTACAAGGACAAGAAACAACTCTTGCTCTAGTGCCAGTGTTCTCTTTGGTCCACGCTTTGGATTCTCAGGGCAAATTGTATCTGCATTTGTGTTTGACTTGTAGTATATAAGCTTCTCTGCTGCTGGCATTAGAAAATCAAAAAATATCAGAAATGTTTCATGATCTTGGAAACCAGTATAAAAATGAAATAGTTCAGTATCATCCTTTATATCATCAACATGAAATGATACTTGTTTAATCTTTGCTTTCATTGATTCATTCTCTTTTTTAGCCTGACCCAATATTTTTGTAAGAGATTCTATTTCATCTTTGTGCTGTCTTTCCCTTGCTTCCATTTGCTTCCTCAGAGCAGCAAGCTCATTTGCCTGGTTGTCAGAATTAACTGCCTCAGGTAAGTTCTCATCACCATTTGCAATTACTTCGACAAGTTTTTCCCGATCGAATCGTTCTTCCGTGAGGGCTCTGTTACGACATTTAAATGTTGCTCTTGGTTTTGGTATGCTGGGACGAGTTGCCTTTGGAACGATGAGCGGCACGTTGCTCATGTAAGTCTTTTTTCCACCAACGAAGTGTACCGAACAAACCCTGTGTCCATTCGTTGGTTTGAAGTCCTTGCGACTGATGAGGGATATCCATCTTTTCCTCAGGTCGATCTTCTCTTGCCGATTTCCAAACGGAAACTGGTAGAAACTAAGAGCTGGGTTTCTTTTGCTATTGTTGAAACAACCTGGCACGCAACACGTGAATCCACCAGCTTTTGATTGCTTTTTAGGGATCTCATCACATAGGCCTACTCTTAGGACTCTTCCCATATCGACAGCTTCTGGCTTTTGGTGTAGTACAGCGAGTTGCCCCGGGCTAGAGTTTTGAAAAAAACTAGGGCGATTGTTTGAAGAAGTATCTGTATTTGTTTCTTTGGTAATTGAAGGGTTATCCATCTTTTAAATCGTAAACAGCCGTACAGTGCGATTGAGCGATATTTGCAATGATTTGAAGAGCGCGCCGATTGCCGTGTTGTTGTTAACTACAAGTACCAGAATGCATTGCGCTCCGAGCGAATAAGGAAAACGGTGAATTGAAATGTTAGTTTTCAAATTGCAGCTTGAAAAAATTCCTCAAAAACTTTGTAATCTCAAACTTTCAGCGGCATTAGAGAACGCAAAAGTATTTTTAAAATGTCCTAAAAACTTGTTTTTCTGGTGTGGTTGACTTTTTAATTTATAATTTTGACTTTTTCTAGTTCCTTAGTTTCATAGTTTTTTGTAAAATCTCAACCGTACAAAGTAAACCCTTAGATTTCTGATTTTGTATATGAAACAAAAAATCTTGATTTATCTTTGTATGAATGCAATTTTCTCTGAAACTATGCAAGATACTGAAACGAAAATTTAACAGATTATTCTTGAAGGTACGGCGAGTTCAAATATGGTCAGCAATTGTCAACAAAATTATTTGGTTCATGTTTTATTTACAATTGAAATGTTAGTTTTCAATTTGCAGCTTGAAAAAATTCCTCAAAAACTTTGTAATTTCAAACTTTCAGCGGCATTAGAGAACGCAAAAGTGTTTTTAAATGTCCCAAATCTTGTTTTTCTGGTGTGGTTGACTTACTAATTGATAATTTTGACTTTTTCTAGTTCATTAGTTTCATAGTTTTTTGTAAAATCTCAACCGTACAAAGTAAACCCTCAGATTTCTGATTTTGTATATGAAGCAAAAAATCTTGATTTATCTTTGTATCAATGCAATTTTCTCTGAAACTATGCAAGATACTGAAACGAAAATTTCACAGATTATTCTTGAAGGTACGGCGAGTTCAAATATGGTCAGCAATTGTCAACAAAGTATTGGGTTCATGTTTTATTTACAATTGAAATGTTAGTTTTCAATTTGCAGCTTGAAAAAATTCCTCAAAAACTTTGTAATTTCAAACTTTCAGCGGCATTAGAGAACGCAAATGTGTTTTTAAATGTCCCAAAAACTTGTTTTTTCTGTGTGGTTGACTTTCTAATTGATAATTTTGACTTTTTCTAGTTCCTTAGTTTCATAGTTTTTCTGTAAACTCTCAACCGTACAAAGTAAACCCTCAGATTTCTGATTTTGTATACGAAGCAAAAAATCTTGATTTATCTTTGTATGAATGCAATTTTCTCTGAAACTATGCAAGATACTGAAACGAAAATTTCACAGATTATTCTTGAAGGTACGGCAAGTTCAAATATTGTCAGCAATTGTCAACAAAATATTTGGTTCATGTTTTATTCACAATTGAAATGTTAGTTTTCAATTTGCAGCTTGAAAAAATTCCTCAAAACTTTGTAATTTCAAACTTTCAGCGGCATTAGAGAACTCAAAAGTGTTTTTAAATGTCCCAAAAACTTGTTTTTCTGGTGTGGATGACCTTCTAATTGATTATTTTAACTTTTTCTAGTTCCTTAGTATCATAGTTTTTTGTAAAATCTCAAACCGGTAGCAAAGTAAAACCCTCAGCATTTCCTCGATCTTATATAATG